CCTTCCCCTCCTGTTTCCTCTGCGCTTCGTTTTTCTCTTCTGAACATTGCACGAGATTGAACAAAAAAGTGGACAGCTTATTTTTTAAAATAGCTTTACAGCGTTAGTTGATTTTTTAATAATATATAAGTAAAAAAATCCAGTGTGACATTCTGGTATCGTTCGCTTCACTGGGAACAGGGACGAGGAAAAGAAACCTGACAGAAATTAAAAGCAGTAGAAATGAAGTACCGAATGAAGGGGATAAAAGTGAAAGTGGAAGACAGCATGAGTAACTAAAAACCCAAACGGAAAAAATAGACCCGCGTTGACCTGCCATTGTGATGACTCCGACGACATCACCTGTTTTTTCGTGCTTTTACTCCCGTAACTTTCACTGTTTGGGGTAGTTATTATTAGAGATGTTACATCCGGTCGACGCAACATAGCAATATGGATTTGGGATTTCAGTTCTTAAGTATGCCTAGGCCTCACGTATGACCACGTGAAAGTTTTATGTCAAAGATCATTTGAAAGCCAGAAAATTGGGAGTTTGGAATTTTGGAAGGATATTCACCCTTTGAGGTTTCAAATTCGACTTTTTCGTACCGGTGCGTGAAATTCTTATTTTTGTCCGTCCACTTGACGTTGTTATCGCTACCGAAATTCGAAAAGCATTCCTGACGAACCGGACAGGAAATTTCGCTATGTGCAATGCCGAACAGTTGTAATTGCATTTGTGAAATTTCCATGTTCATCAGATAGCCACTTTTAGAAATTTTACAAAGTTAAATGATTGTAATTAGGTTGGAGTGTTGTATGTGCTATGTCGATTGTATATCAATTTATCGCAGGTCTATTTCCCCTTCTACATCACTCACATACGCAATTTATCAAAGGTTAGTCAGTTCATTCTATTTCTGGTTTCCAAAAAAAAGACGGAGGCTTGGGAAACTCGATGTTTGAGGAAGCTTTTGAAATCGCGTTCCTGCATTTTATACTTGGGCGTAAATTTGAGCTGCAGGCACTGAAATTTCTCGATTAGTAGGTAATTATGCAGTAGATATTGCCAAACCCGCTAGCTGGAACTGCGTTGTATACTTCTCCGGAATGCTTGGGAAACTTTTAATACAAATTGTTTTGAAACATTGTCAGTGGATTTGATTTCTCACGGAGCGCCAAATCGCGGACATTCACTTCAACCAGCAAAATTGGTGCTATTGCCAGCAACATGTTGCTGGCAACTCAAATACCACTGTTCATGCTTAATTTCGA